AAAACCTTGTCGAAACGTTGTACATTTGCTGTCATGTTAAACTTATATTAAAGTTTTTCTTCATTACCCATTTAAGCCGTCTCCAGCCATTATTTTAAAGGTTTAATATATTTTAAAAGCTAAAACAATTTTTTTTCGAAGTTGCAAGTTAGATGAGCAATTACTACATTTTTATCTAAATTTCAAAGGATATTTCAACAATTATAATATGTAATTCATTATGTATTAAAACAAATTACACGACAGTGACAAATGTAACATTACAAAAACTCGTGAATATGAAAATACACTTTAAAATGAAAATATTATACAAGCAAATAATGCTTAACATTTACTTCATAATACCTCTGCTTCTTATCTCAGGTTTTAATTCAAAATATATGTCTGGGAAGTTTTACTTAATACTTTCTTTAAATGTTTCTATACGACTGTAACCTTTAACTTAATTGATTTTAAATGGGATTTGATAAACCTGTATGATTTGGCTTAAGATTTTTAAGCTAAACAACCGTTTTTCCCTTTAGTACTAAATTATTTTTACCCAACACCCGCATCTACTTGAATTTTCTTTAAAATCAGTTTTGTTTCTAGAAGTCAGGGAATATTTTGTAAACATTTAACAAGAACCTCCATCTTCGTCTGTGTATACATGTGCACGTATTGCAAGAGAAATTTGAATGAATGCTTTATATAGAGCTATTCATAGATTTTTGATGGTGAAGCTTTATCTTGAAAGTCACTCAAGTTCCTTTAACGTAGATAGCGTAAAATGAGAAGTAGACGTTATTTTTGTACAAAGGGATTTCATGAGAATATGTAAAGTTCTCATGCTCTGAATACCTCCATCCACTTACATTCCTGATAAAACCGACGTAGAGCTTTAGTTGATATCCGATTTAATCTTGTATCCTAAAAGATTGTCATATGCTATCTGACTTATCGTTCCGTGAACAAACAAACAGAGCAAGGCTAAATCGTTTTTGAGTTAATGATTTTTGTAAATGAAAAGTAAACATTTAATTTTAACAATAAATTATTGCCTTTGAATACGATGTGAAAAGTATCTAAATGTGTATGCAAGTTATTGAGCTATGACAGATCCTATCTGGAGCTTCAATCGCTTATCTTATCCAGTTTTATATTGAACAGAAAACATACTAAAACGTACTACATATATATATATATGCCTTATTGTATGCACACACACATACATATATTTGTTGTTTCAAGCTCTCTCTTTAAGATCTATTGTTTCATGACCTAAAATTATTATGTAGTTTTTTACAACGTCATGAGGCCATTAAGAAAAGTTATGAGTATCCTACTTTGTGTACCATTGATTTTTATGAAAATATTTTAAGCATTAATTTATTTTTTTTCACCGGAAAAACATATCGGATAAATATAAAAAAATCGATTAAAAGTTAGTGAACATGCCAAACAACCTAAGAACAGCTTTATGCAATTTTTGTAATGCTTTCGTATAAGTACACCACTAAAACATTTGGACGTTTAAAGAACCTATAATTTGTAGCTTAAACCCTTTGGTATTGTGTTGATGTGAGGAAAAGAATTATTTTATGAACACAAGTTACTGTTAAACTGAGATGTTGTATAAATGGACAGGCAGATGTACATTCCTAGTATTATTGATTCTATTTGCTTTTCACTTTTTACATGTAATAACATTGGAACAAACTACAAAAGATGTTAAGCCTGTATATACATTTTCATTGTTGCTAAACAGAAATATATTTATCGTTGGGCTGTATTTTACAGAATTTATTAAAAATTCAGGAACTAATATATTTTCCTCTTTTTTTTTTCCCGTTATATAAACATTACCCAGTATTACTAGATTTTTATAGTTTTATGATACGTTTCTGAAATAATCAAATTCAAATTGTCTCAAATTTTTCTCCTCTCCCGTATGGTAACTAACTGTCTGTGTTTTTCGAATTACTACAAACAACAATGTTCACGTTATTTTTCATGTTAATTTCGCTGTGTTGTTCATGAACAATTCTCATTTAGTGTCCAAACATTTATACACTTGAATTTCAATCATGTTAATGTTTCAACTTTGTCTATTTTTAAATCACGTGCAAAATAAACACTTTAGAATTCTTCTATAAAGCTATTTCCGCAATAAATTTAAACATGACTTATCTACTAAACTAGTGTTTTATTATCAATGACATTACAGCTGATACAGCTAAAAGATTAGCATTATATATTCAGTGAGACAAGGATTGTTTTAACTACCGAACTATATCTGCACTATATGTAAGAACATTGATCATTCGGTAGTAAATTATTTCTTTTATGATCAGTGAAACAAGCAATAATACTTTTTTATGCATTTACTTCTATGTGTTTAGTGAAACGGAAGAATCCGGTGATTAAAGTTTAAGAGAAAGTTTAGAGACACGGAAGAATGTACATGTTTGGAAACTTCTGTGCCAGAGAAGATTGAAACATCGTCTAAAAACTTCTGAGGTAGATGAAGTCTACAGAAATCTCCAATGAAATTTATCGTGATGTCTTGAACACGCTTTTTTATAAGATTAGTGATAATATTTATAAACATTTAATACTACACTATTATTGAGAATAGTCACAATTTATACACCCAAATATTGATGTAACGACGTGTAATGATAAAACAATTAGAATTTTATTTATCTAAGATATTCAAGTTATAAAAGAGCGCTTGTAACGATTATTATTATTTATCTACTAGTTTACTTTTGGGTAGTGAGTGAGACTAAGATGCTTATTACTTTCACATTGTATGATAAGTGAAAATAGGGTGGTTATTATTCTTTGATCTTATTTTATTTAATCCGTGAGAATACACTGAATGTTTTTAAACTTAACTTTATGTAATCAGGGAGACTAGGATGATTATTATTCTTTAAAATTAGCTTTATTTAACTAGTGAGATTAGTGTGATAGCGTTCATGAACTTATCTTTGAGACTAAGAGTTTATTTATTGATTTGTCTTGTATATTTGGTAGGATTATTAAAAAAATGTTTACAGGTTAATCGTATTTTTAATAAAACAGATGAAAATTGATTCTCCAGAATACTGCTGTACTATTATTGGGAATAGTTCGATTCATATCGATAAGTAAGTAGTGTACTACTCATTCGCTTTCAGTGAGAGGCTTTTTTTCAGTGTGATATATAAAATCAAACCTAAGTTTGATGTTAACTTTAGTAGAGAAAAAATAAAATAACATGAATAACAGTTTAACTAGTAACTCTATCTAAATATGATACTTTTAACTGCAAAATACAACAGGTTTGTTATCTTGCGCATCTCATTTGCTATTTCTGCTTAGCAGCAATACCCAAATCACCACGAGAGGCGCTACAAGCAGGACGTTCTCTGTTTAAAAACACGAGACTCGCGAGCGAAGAGGAACAAACCGGTGTATATGAACGAGTTATTGAGACGCGAAGTTCTTACCATTGGTAAACATCGACAAAGACGGGCTATCAGGCTTTCCATGAACATATAGAAACTAACACTCTAATACTTATTTACAGTGGGAAGAGAAGTCTTGATATCTTATCAACGTTTGGTGTATAAGCAAGGTAAGCATTTACTAAATAAATGATGCCATTCTTTTTAAAGCACTGAGTTTAAGCTGCTTCATTTGAAACTCCTAAAGGGTTATACATACTAGATTATATGCCGTTTAGCGCTTTCTTACATCTCGCTAAGACTTAGTATTCACAAAAATGAGACTTTTTTGAGAACATATATTGCTTATGAAGCGAAAGCAAAACGACTGTGTACTGCAAGCAGAAGTTAGTCTCTTGTTTGAAAATATTCAAAAAGGTTGTTTTAAATGTTGGTTATTCATTTGGCTAAGTTTCTTTCGGATGTTGCAATGTTATACGCTTCTAGTAGATATTATATGTCATGTTTGTTTCAAATGTTAGTTATTCAGTTGGCTAAGTTTCTTTCGGATGTTGCAATGTTATACGCTTCTAGTAGATATTAGATGTCATGTTTGTTTCAAATGTTGGTTATTCAGTTGGCTAAGTTTCTTTCGGATGTTGCAATGTTATACGCTTCTAGCAGATATTAGATGCCATGTTTGTTTCAAATGTTAGTTATTCAGTTGGCTAAGTTTCTTTCGGATGTTGCAATGTTATACGCTTCTAGTAGATATTAGATGTCATGTTTGTTTCAAATGTTGGTTATTCAGTTAGCTAAGTTTCTTTCGGATGTTGCAATGTTATACGCTTCTAGTAGATATTATATGTCATGTTTGTTTCAAATGTTGGTTATTCAGTTGGCTAAATTTCTTTCGGATGTTGCAATGTTATACGCTTCTACTAGATATTATATGTCATGTTTGTTTTAAATGTTGGTTATTCAGTTGGCTAAGTTTCTTTCGGATGTTGCAATGTTATACGCTTCTGGTAAATATTAGATATCATGTTTGTTTTAAATTGCAGTTTTACTTCTCTCTAATGATTGAACACCAAAATAAATTATTGATAGAAATTGATCTTGGTCACAATAACTACAAAGCAGGTGACTAACTATATTTCATGACCACATGTTTACATACATCTTAGTTTCTAATGTTTTATCCCATGCACACACGAGCACGGTGAGCGGAAAAGAAATCAGTTTTCGAAGAGACATTGTAAAGTCGGCAGGTGTCAGACGTACCAACGGAAGCGTGACCCCTGGAGTGACACTACTTGATTGGAATAGAGTAGCTATAATAAATAAAATATAACAAACAATAAACTAGCTATTATAATTTTCTAAAGCATTAGTGAATACAAATTTCAGCTAATGATTCAGATATTACAATTTAATTACGATATGTTATTAAGTGCGCTTGACATTATATCACCTAATTATTACCGTTAGATCATAGAGTTTTTACATGGTTAAAATCCTCGAGAATACTAGTTTTCGACTCGCTCCTCTCGAACCCCTTTCTTAACTGAGCTAAGGAAGGCACGATTTGAAGTAAAGTTGTGTAATTCAATAGTTTTATCAGAGAGAAGGTTCAAGGAAGTAATTCACTAACCTAAACCTAATATTGTTTCATTGCCTTATTAGAAATCAATTTTATTGCTTCTTTTATATCTTTATTTTGATTCTTTAAAGTACGCAGTTAAGTAATAAGACATTTTCTAAAGTTCTAAATCATACAAACTAGACTATTTATGATAAATATTGTAGTGTAGAGTTAAACCAATCCAACACGGGCCTGATCAAACTTGTCGATTAATGATCTGTTTCTGGTTTATAGATTTCAATACACGACTTTGTTAATAACATTTACTTCTTCAAGACGTCCTCCAGAACTTTCAATTACATTAATATCATTTCGAGCATAATTTGGTTTTATCATGTACTATATTCAACCATTAAAATAAATCTAATTATGTAAATGGCTTTTGTTATTCAAAAGCGCTTACAGATTTTGTAAGATTACGCAAATATGCCATTTTACTATGAACGTGTCTAATCATAGCTTATTTGCGTTAGGCAATGCAAAATGCAGTCGAAATAAAAGAAACGCTCTGGGAAATGTGCTTAGGAGCACAATATGTCGTATTTTTTACAGTTTAGGCTCAGCATAATTTTAAAAATTAAGGCGTGTTTTATCAGCGTTTAAATTCGTAAGAGGACGCGTTAATCGCTTTCTCCACTTACTTCATATATCACTGAATTTAAAGAAGATAAATGCGACCAAAATTCTGTGTAAAAAGAGAGATTACTTTCTAAAATCTTAAATTATGAAAATCCTGTTAATAACCTTTCTGAAGGACGAAAAAATGTGAGTTTTTGGTAATCGTTGGAATCATTATTTCGATAAACAGTGAAATACTTGCTTGATTTTGTTTCAAAATCACTTTTACCTTTATCAAAATTGAAAGATTTTGTTACTCTTTATATTGAGTTTATATTCCTTAAAGGCTTAAATATACCTGAAGTCATTAGCTAAATGTTAACTAAATATATTGAAGCTAAGGTAACCAGGATCATTGTAATATAGAAATAAATTAAACGGCATGTAACACTAATCTTATTAGAAGTAAATTAACACGTTTCGGTATCATACCTTGAGACCGCTTTCCATTTGTTAAGCAAGAAATATTAATACTCGCTTTCCTTTTTTTTTCATTAGAAAAGAATATGCTCAAATCATTTTTTACAGCAGAGAAGAATGAAATATGTAATATAATTATGTTATTTCTTTGGTTGCGTGATTCACGTAAATTTATATGAAGAAGGAAAGTAGGGGTTTTTGTAGGGTTTTATTCGACAAATTCTAGAGTTAAAATATTTGATCGTAAGACTACATATGTCTGTCAAGATCAATATTAGTTACAAGAAAAAATTTTTTTATCTAAACACTTCCACTACAAGGGAGGGGGACATTTAACAATGAAAATAAAAAAGGAGAAAGTTGGATATATAAACCAGTAGCATATTTATCAGATTACGCATTCCAAACTTCAAACAACTGGGCAGAGATTTAAAATTAGATTTATAGTTTATACGTATAGGAATAACTTGTGATGAAATATACATTACACAGAAATCAGAAACACTTCATAACTAAATAGGTCGAACCTCCTTTTACAGTGGGTTCATATTTACTTTAAATCCTAAACATGAACTAGCTTCAGATACAACAAAGTGCAGCCTTCCTTCACTGAATATATTGGTATTAATTCCTGCAGTAGATTAAACTCGAAGTGTTTCCTAAAATATGAATATAAACATCAACCCTTTTGTATAAAAGCTATAGTGAATGTTATTGTGTTGAAACAATGACGGGACATAATGGGAACAATAGTGTTTAGACTAAATATTTAAGTTGTGTAACCCAAGTTTTGTAGTGAAGTCAAATGTTTACATAAGGACAGAAACGTGCTGACAAATGTTTGGGGGATTTTCAGGAAAGACAACTTAAAATACGAGACTTTTAGACTACACTAAGTAGTATAAACTGAAACAACAACCACATGATAAGAAACTGCACGAGTATAAAGTAATGCTGTGTATCTAAGTACACATAAATAAATAAAAAATATGTAAACTTAAATGAGTGTAAGTACGGGCGTTAAAAGTTGGTATGACTAACTTTCAGTGTTTGAACTTGCCACACCCCTCAATTTAGCTCTTAAAGATTTTTTATTCTTGTGTAAGGGTTGAGTTTATAAAAATATTCGTTATTGTTATAAAAACTTTCATGTTTTGTATTTTTGTGTGTGTGTGTTTCAAATGCTGATGTTTAAAGTCTAACCTGACGATGATTTTTAGCCACAGTGGTCTTTTGCGCATGCGTTATCTAACTGCACAAGTGCTCTGGCTAGCTCGCTGAACTTTTCCTTCGTGTATATGAGTGAACAGATACGAAAATAACGTGAACAGGTCTTAAGATAGATTTTCGTAAATTGTTCAGTGACGGTGATCAATCTTCGGTTAAGAACAAAAGAACATGACAAACATCTTCCAAAGGTGTCATAATTAACTCTCAATGATTATAAACTGATACAATATTTCACTATACCAATTACCAAATTTCTGCCCCTCCCCCCCAGTGGCACAGCAGCATGTCTGCGGACTTACAACGCTAGAATCCGGGTTTCAATACCAGTGGTAGACAGAGTACAGATAGTCCATTGTGTAGCTTTGTGTTTAATTACAAACAAATCAAATTTCTATTTCTTAGTGTGTCTATGCCTATAGTACATACATTGGAATAATGGATTCAATAGCACAACTCATTTCTGGACAAACTGAGATAGGCAGAGAAAAGTTGAGATACTTCGTTTTTCCCTTTAATTGTAACTATTGTATCTTATTTTTAAATTTCCATTTCAACAGAGATAGTAAAGTGCTCTTATTAGTTTTTATTAATGCTATCTCTTGTTCACTCATACATATAATTCATATAAATATATATAAAAAAGAGTGTTCAGTCTTCGGTTTAAAAGGTTAAAACAGTATACGTATATTTCATAAATACGAATATATATATATATCAATCAGTTTCATAGCATAAGAGTTACTTTTCAGCCTGACTCTGCCCTTATAAATTACCAGCTATCACCTTTAGAAGTGATTGTTGTGTTTGTATACTTATGATGTTGCTAAGTTGAAATACTGCTATCTCATTTTGCATCTCTTATAAAACTGCGAATACCTGTGTATATGTGCGTTCATATAGTTTTGCTTAGCATATCTAGACTAAGGGCAGTAAACACGTTGAATGTGTATATATTAGAAAGGATGTGCCATTCATTCAACATATATCTAGGAAGCTACATACAAAGTCTCCAGCTTATTCTAGTAATAGGACTCTAAGGTGCATGATAATGAACTGGAAAACATATGGTAATGAATAAATATAAATTTACATTTGAAAATATTTGCTTTTGAGAAACCAAGTCTTTCTACAGCTATTATTGCAGTCTATTTCAGTTTATATCTACCAAGAGAAGCCTCTGATATTCCTGCGCTGAATAATGGAAAGGGATCATCTCATATTAGAAGTTTCAGGATAGGGAGCTTATAGTAGTAAAGTATTATCAGTCTCACACGACAA